TTTGAGAAGAACAGGATCTTGCGTTGCCAGTCCTTTTCAGTGCTACTTGACTGCCTAACACTAACCTAAAATATGGTGATGTTGTGTATTCTTTGCTTTCTTCCAGTGTTCAAAGAGTCCGAATATTGCCCTTCAAAAGGTTGAGGTGTGTCATATGGGATCTGTCACGTTAATTTAAGCGGCTTTTTAAAACTAAAGGAGAAATAGGCTGATTCACTTTCTGCCAAACCCGGTGACTCAGACTTCCCACTTGCCAAAAACCACTTATGCACAGGGAAACTTTTAGCAGTGTGATGCTGACCTGGCTTTCTGTATAGAAACCCAATTGTATTTCCCATTTTATAAGAAAGGGGTCATGTGGGAAGCTAACTTCTGTATCTTTTTTTATTTTTTAGTATTGTTTCTCATCACGTTTGTTCCCAGTTAAAAAATGCCATCATTTAGGGAAACACTGGTAGAATGTCTCATCCTGGTGACGGGTTTTAGGGAGGCGAATATTTGTGTAGAAGGGCCTTGATTCTGAAGTCTTCGTGTAATGGGAAGGTTGGACATAACTGCACTTTCAGTGGAAGTGTGAATAGAGGCCACATGTGAATGCAAGGTTAAATACCCTGCAGCATCTGCTGCTCAAGAAATGCTTTACAGGGCAAAAATACGTTTTAAGACCCCTTCACGCTTGCAGTAGTTCTTTCTGTCGCGTGGGAAAAAGTACTGGTGAGTTATGGGAAGAAAATGGATATATCAGAGGAAACTGGGACAGCTTGGCAGCCTTTGGCTGACACCGGGTTCAGAGCTCCAGGCTTCCTTTTCTCTTTTACAACATCCTCATTTAAAGTAGGAACCAAATCCCTTGGGTCAAAAGGCAACAACAGCCCTTACAGCGTCTCAGCCTCCGCTGCAGAGTTGGTTGAAACGTCTTCATACATAATTTGCCTTTTTGATATACACTTTTTGAACCACTTTCCTTTTGTCGACCGTCTTTTTAATTGAAAATAGCTGTTCAGCATTTTTGTTCTCTGTGTGATTCTTTCCTTTGCTTTTTTTCCAGTGAAGGTGAGGGTGGGAAGGTGAGGCATGGAGAATGTTTTAAAAAGGAAATGATAACAGGGAAAGTATAGCTTTTTTTCTCTCTCTCCAGAAGCCAGCAAGGGAGGGGGAAAATTTTTAAATAGTTTCTTTTTTTTTATTATTTGAAATGGAAAAAACTCCAGTATATTTATTTGTCAAATGGATGCTTAATTGCCTTCTAATCTTGATTCCAAAAATTTTTGAAATTTCTGCCAGCCCTACTTGGCTGGATTTGAACTAGTAGTGAATTAATATAATGCTTCTTGTCCTGTCAACTCCCAAAGCTCTGTAATCTCCAGACGACTTTTTCAGCACCCGTCTGTTAACATAGTTTATATACTCTCATAATCCGTCTCCAAAGGATTGAATCTTTAAATCGGGCTCCACACCTCAGTGTTCGTTGTTCCAGGTTGGTTAGAGAAAGTGGTTGTGAAGGTTTTTATCAGTTGATTCCCCGCATTGTTTCTTTTTTTTAATAATAAACCACAACCTGTAGTCTACCGATACTCTGTTCTGATAGCCTCAAAATGTGATTGATCTAGTTAATAACACTGGATCTGCCGGGGCTTCCTTTTCAGTTCAAAGCTGTTTTGTGGAGCTTTCCATGCAGTTATAAAAGCATGCCAAAAGCAAAAATCACACAGCTGTAATGTTCATACTCCATCCAGTTTTTACATGTAGAACTACTTACTCTTTAAGATACCTGTGTGATGTGTAACACACAATGAGCCAGTTAAAAAGTGACACCTAGCCGTTAATAGCTTTTGTTTCAACTTGAAAATGCCTTGTCGGAAGAACGTATTAATAGGATATGAGCTGTCAGTTATTGTCTTATTCTCTTTTTTTTTTTTTTTAACGACAATTTCTTTCCTTTCCATCACGAACAATTTATGAAGAATGCGACTGACAATTTTAGTTTTGAGAGTTGAACTGCGGAGCGTTAGTAGTGGACCAGCCCCTTGTCTGTCTGGCAGACAAAGCACAATGCAACAAATTGGTGTGCTATAATTTGTGCACCCAATAGGATCCCCAGTGCCCTTCCCAGTTTAAGAATTTGTGGAAGTTAGTCTTAAAATGCTGTGTTTTGGGAGGTGGCAGGAGGAATAGAGATGCCTGGTAGGGGACTTCTGCATCATGGATTGATAACTGCTGGGAATACTTATAACCAGGGATCTTGGTTTTCTCTGGTGGGGGGGGGGAAATCCCCAATTTTCAGATTAAGTAACGCAAAATCCACATTTTTCCGTGACTAAAATAAACACCACTAATAGACAGACAGATAGATAGGTATGTAGTATATATCACTGTCTTGTGTGTGTGTGTATAGATAGATAGATAGATAGTGGTATATCTATATATATACACTAGATAGTGATATATACTACACATCTCTCTGTCTATCTATTAGTAGAGGTGTCATGATTACCTCCCTTGCGGGTGCTTCCAAAAATAGCGTGCATATAGTAATCATGCCTACAGCATTAATTTATTCAACACTTGCCTTTTAAGCCTAAATAAGATCTTGCCAACGGTATCGTTTTTCAAAATATGAGAAACTCCCCTTTTTCATCAGGCCACCGAAAAAATGTTTTCAAAACGAAATAACTGTATTTTTATAAGCTAACTGCAGACCTGGGACTAATGATCTGCAAAACAATTTGATATGCAGAAAATGAGTTTAGTATTTGTTTATAACCTAAAGTAACAACATTAACGTAATTGTTAAGTAACTGCCTAATTGTTCATTCAAACACAATGCAACTTTTTGTCTAATGTGTTTCTGCCCAAATGAAAATTTTAGCTGTTAGCAATTGAAAATCATTTGGAACAGGAAATACTAATGTTGCCTTAACTATACTGACAGCCTCTACAATGATGAGTTTGATTTGGTAACTCAGTGATGGTTGGAAGAGTTGGTGTGCATAGTCAGAAAAAAATTCTCCATTGAATAATTAGGGAGGAGGGAATAGATGTCATTCATATAAAACCAGTATGAAAGGAGAGAGCCTCTGTGATATTTGTGCAGTGCCTAATGTTAGCTATTAATGAATTGTCATTCCGAATGTAGTCAGGAACACCTTGGAAGTGATGGGAGTACCTTTGCTTTTCATGTAGGCAGTCATGTCCTATTTCCCTGAAGCATAAAGGAAGTTAAACAATATGATTGCATTGCAAACGCACATATTAATAAACAGTTTCTCTTCATTTTGCATAACAACATTGCAGCTCTTGTCTAATAAGCTCATAAAAACATTTTAAAGAACAACCCACTAGGGCTCTATAATGCGACTTGCTCCAAGACAAAGAGCCTGAAAGCAAAGGCAAACTAACAGTTGTCGTAAGAAGAAATTGTCCTGGATTGTAAATGGTGTAAACATTTCCTAGCTGAGGGCAAATTTTCCTTGGTGCAAAAAGCTGCTTCATATGGCTGCAACTTTTTTTTTTTTTTTTTCCCCCTTCCTTGCAAGCAGTTGGATGTTTTTTACCAGGGTCTTCCATTCCTGGGTCTATGCAAACTTTCACATGTGTTGCATATAACATGATTGGATGACCCAGCAATGAAATTTAGCCATTGTGCCTTTGGCTGTGAAGGCTGACAGCCTTTAAATAGAGTAACACTGACCTACGCAACCATTCAGAGCAAAAGGAAAAAAACCTGCTTTCCTTGGGGTATGCATGAACCCCCCCCCCCCCCCCCCCCCCCCAAGTGAGCAAATTTAAGTGGGAATTTAGCACCAAGCAAAGTCTACGCGCCCACAGTGACCCTGAAGGGAGGAAAAGGAAGGTTCCTAGTTTAGCTTTTGCCTACGTGCACAGTTACAACATCTGTTAATTCGCTTGCATTGGATTGTTTGTCTATATTCTGCCTACAAAACTATAGAAAAGTTTTAGGGTGTAATTTAACTTCCTAATGGGAGCTTAGCCAATCATTGTTAGCATCTCTACTCCTGTAGGTAAAGAAAGCGAAGTTTTCAGTGGCAAGGAGCTTCTTTTCTAACATCTTAACATAAAGGGACAGACCTTCTTTTTTTAAAACCAAAGAATCAAAAACCTGCCACTCATGAGCTAAACAGACCAATCTTCTAAGAAATCTGTCACTTTTGCAAAATGGGGTGGACTGGACACAGGCAAGAGGTGGTTGTTTGAATTAATTTCAGAAGTACGTTGTGAGATAAAAGGGGGATACATGTCATAGGTATAAAGCAAGGTCACCTGTGACGAGTCAAAAATAGAAAAGACCTGTTTGATGGTTGTTAATCATTCCACGGTATTTCCACAAACTGCAGTCCCTGTTGTGTCTGCCTCTAATTTTGTATAATTCTGCCTCTGATTTTCTCAGTTGATCTAATAAAAGGTATCATTTCTGAACCAAGAGTTTTAGATTTTTGCGTTTCTAATTTTGTATAGTTTTCCTTTAATTTATGAACTCAGTTCTGAAGTGTGAATTCCAATCCTGTGCTCTGCCTTCTCATAAAGCCTGGCTTTTAAAACCTTCTTGTTCAACACAAGTTAAAAAAAACAAAACAAAACAGCATAAGTCTGGGGTGGTTGTACTAAGCAACAAGACCTTGCTAAGTAACTATCTGTCTCCTCATCTTTCTGAACAGCCTTAGTACACAAATATTTGGGGGAAACCCTGAGATAACAGTAATCTTGTATATCTGATTGCTTGTAGCTACCATACCCTTTTATGGAAAAGGAAACTGAGGAGAATAATTCTCTTGCAAGCAATTCAATGAGATCTTTAATGAGCAAAGTTTCAGCTAAAAGGCATTGAAAGAAGTGGATGGATGGCCCTGAAAATGGCCCTGTTAAGTGATAGCTTAAAGATTAGTTGTCAATAAAGTTCATTTGTTAAAGATAATGTACTGTAAAAAGTTCTGTTTTTTACATAGGCTTTTATATTAATTGTGCTTTTGCTTTGGTTTCAGCTGTGGGATTGGGATCTTGGTGCTTCCACATGACCTTGAAGTATGAAATGCAGGTCAGTAAAAATATGTAGATGTGAATAACCTCATCTAGGTGTCTTGCTCAGTTCTCTACCAAAGCGTGCCTTGACCATGTGAATCTATTTTCCTTGTTAATAAGGAGTGTTACACACACTTCCAGTGCTGTATTATACATTTTTGAGGGGTTGGTTTATACCGAGATGCCTTTGGCTCAAACCAGCATCTCTGTATGATCCATTTAAGTCTGGCCGAGCTGGCAGAAAGCTTCGTATCAAAGTGAACAGAACGTGGTGTTTGTAGGAGCTTGTTTTTACCCAGTCTCATTTTCTTCATTGTGTAAGGTAAGTATTCTTACTCTGAGTCATTGAATACGATTTCCACAAAGATATAATATAGACTCCCATTTTACTAGGTATTGCCACTGATGAACATGTAGCAACGTGTGCGGTTCTAAATCAGTGGGCTAAACCAGCTGGTTACTCTAGCAAGAGGGGACTTTACCCATTATGGGATTGATGCATGTTTTTTAACCAAGATGCTCTGTTAACCTTCATTATAGCTTCAGTTTGGTACCAAGGCCTTTAACCTGGAGCTATTGTATTGTCCATTATATCTTCATATTCCACTTCATGTTTTGTCAGTATAAATCTCTGCTTTTGGATGTACGTTTTCCCTTTGTCACTGAGATGGGAACTCTTTGGAAAGCACCAGCTGTTAGGCTTGTTTTCTTCTGATTGGGAATAAAAAAACAGGTCTTCAGGAGTGCATTATTGGGCAAAGGGATTGTAAGACCATCGTCCCGTCCCCCCACCCCCCCTTGTAAAACTTTGTCCTGTTCTACATGCAAAAGAAAACAGAAAATTCATTCTCTGAATCATGATGACCTCCAACTGGAGGTTATCAGTCCCAGTGCAGCGTGCTATCATGGAGACCAGTATATTGGGGTTCACACTTTATAGAAATTAGGTCACTTCTTCAGCCAGCGGCTCTGCAGCACATGGGGTGCTTTTACACATGCTGTGGGAGTGGGGATGCTTTAATTAGATGGGCTTCAAGAGCACCTCATGTATCAGTGTCCCCATGCTTCAGAATGGTAGTGAGGGTGCTTTAACTTAAGCTCATTGAACAAGCTTTAGCTAAAGTGCCTCTGCCACTATTTTGAAGCGCAGAGACACTGATGCACGAGACGCCGAAGCTGCTGGAGTGCACTAATTACCAGGAGTCCCAGGTTTCCCTGATGGGGGGGAAAAAAATTGTAAATTCTCTGTTTAAAAACTGCAAATTCTCTGATTAAAACCCCAAAAATCCAAAATTAAAATGAAAGGGGGCGTGTGTGTGTGTGTGTCAGTTGAACACAATGTTTTATTCCTACATATACAGTTTTAAAGCAATTTGGAAGTCTACCAATGCCTCAATCACTATAATAAAATAAATTCTAAATACCTATATATGTTGACATTTGGTTTTGTGTTTATCATGGAAAATCAGAGCTCCCCTTGTCTCCGTAACTCAAAGAACACAGGTCCAGACCCCTTGCTCCCAAACCACAGCGCCCTACCCCCACAGCCCTGCTGGAGGGGGGCCCCCGGCTGCCAGGGCTACGGGGCCAGGGACCTGGGTACAGCACCCAAGCGCCAGCTGCCACCTGCGGGCGGCAGCAGCTGCTGCAACATGGCAGAAAGTGGAGCCGGGTTCCCCTACCCCGACGGGCAGCACGGCCAGAGTGGAACCTGAGGGGCGGGGGATGTAGGCTGCCCGCTGAAGGCTTGGACGGAGTTAGGCCTGGCACAGGTCTGGGGGGCATGGGCCCCCCTGCTTCCCCAGTGGGGAGCTGGGGCCTCGCCCCCTGGATGAGCCACCCATGGCCCTGGCCCACTGCCCTGCAGCCACGCATTACAGCTCCAGGCCCCCAGCCCTGCCCAACTCCCTCCCTCCCTCCCTCCCTTCCTGTGGGGGCCTCAATCCCTGCCCCCCCACTGCCAGACTTAACTTGTGGGAGCTATTCTCCAGGCTGCCTGGGCACCCTCCTCCTGCCCCCCAGCCCCTTGCAGTCTGCAACTTTGCCAGCCTGCAGGGAGCTCTTTGCGAAAGGGCAAAATCCATGTGTTTCTCTGTTAAAATGAGAAATCCACATTTTCTCTCTTTTTTTTTTTTTTTTTTTTTTTTCCTTGGGATTGGGGAAACCCAGATCCCTGCTAATTACCACACTCCAGCAGACTCAACTGTAATTACAGCGCATTGGAGCAGCCTCCCCGCACATCTACAGGCACCCACAATGTCTAGCAGGTAATCTCAACCTGCAAAAGATCTATAATTACCCCTACTAGTTGATGAGTCTTCATCGAGGCCGTGCATTTAGCCTTTAGACCAGTGCTGGCCAACCTTTTTGGTAGGTATGCCGCAAGCTAAGCCCTGCCCTGTCCCTGAGCATCATTCTGATTTCTAACCCCCACCCGTGCCTGTTTGGAGTTTGCACCCTGGGACGCTGCAGTGGAGAGGCAGGGGTCTCCAGCCGCATGGAGCAGAAAGGAGACAGGGTGCTGCTGCAAGAGCAGGTGTCACCACCGAGAGCCAGCTTAACCAAGAGCCATCTTTTTATTTTTGGCAGTAGAAACAAAAAACAATCAGAAAAGAATATCCAGGCAAAGTAAAGCTATTCATTTAGAAACCTAGCCTGAAAACTTGAATACTTGAGAGAATTGGCTTATCCATTCCTTAAAAGACCTCCATTGTTTTTCAAGGTAAAAATTAACAATCGAATGGTAACCTTGGCCAGTGCATTCAGTGGTCTTCTATACAAATTTAGCAGATCTGGGCTGGCTTTGTACCAAAGGAACCTGTCTGCTACACTTGGAACTGTATCCTTTAACATTGGTCAGTACTTGGGGTAGTTGGGGCACCTGTGCAGTTCTTCAAAAGATCTTATCAGCACTTCTGCGGTGTCATGGTAATGTGTCTACACTGCTTCCGACTCCAGAGCTAGAACGGGCTATCTCCACGTGGTGCTGCTTTCTTCTGTAGTCATGTCCTGTGATCCCTATAAGTGTTTCCCTGCCCTGGGGTGGCTGTGAGGGGTCAGGAACCCACGGTACTAATGCAGCTGCAACCTGGGCAAGCCACAACAACTTCCAGAAAGGAAGGACAACCAAATATTCAGGTCCCCAACTCCAACCAGGCTTTCTGGGGAAAGTCATTTCCCTCTGAAAAAAAGAAGAACGTGCTTCTATAAGATGCATCAAAACTGTTGTCTGATTGTAACTATGCAGAGCGAACATTTCCCAAGTTACTGAACGAGCCATCCTTTTAAGATTTATTAGTCTCATGGATTTTTACAGCCACCTTCCCTGAGAAATTGGTTAACTCTCAAATTCCCATGTGTAATGGGGAAAGTCATTTCCCTCTGAAAAAAAGAAGAACGTGCTTCTATAAGATGCATCAAAACTGTTGTCTGATTGTAACTATGCAGAGCGAACATTTCCCAAGTTACTGAACGAGCCATCCTTTTAAGATTTATTAGTCTCATGGATTTTTACAGCCACCTTCCCTGAGAAATTGGTTAACTCTCAAATTCCCATGTGTAAATATGCCAGGACTTGTTGGTGAGCAGGATTTTTTTAAGGCAAGCAGCGACGTTCTGATTCTGTTTGTTAATGCTAAAATTCGAACGGTGCAAGCTTTCTGGACAGCGCTGTCTATTTTTATGGGGTTTTTTTGTCCCCTCTAGCAAAGGGAGCTTATTAATTCCATAGAGTATTTTGCAGAAAAGGCCTTTCTTACCTTTAGCCAAAATTTCGTGTTCTCCAGGGCCCATTTGTAAACGTTGATTGCCTGTCCCAACCCAGTGTCCCTCACTCCTGACCCACTGCCCCCAGCCCTGTAGTGTTGTGGGGCGGGCATGGGGGGGGGTCCAAGTGGCTTCTTGCAAATGAGCTCTGCCAGCCTGCAAGGGAAAAGTTACTGTTTCCCACAGTTTTCTCCTGTAAAGGAGAATCCATATTTAAAATTTGTCCATGACCCTTTCATATATTCTTGCGACCCACTTTTGGGTCACGACCCACAGGTTGAGAAACGCCAGTTGAAAGTACTGCACCGTTTTACAGTCATAACTGGAGACGTTTATTTTAGCTTGTTGCAATTTACTGAATTTTGCAAATGAAAAACAAACACAGCTGCCTAACAACATCATTCATTCTGCATCAGTGTTCTGTAATTTCATTTTGTAAAACTAAGGTCTTAACATGGGAGTTTGCTATAGCCCCTGTCCAGTATTTTCAAAGAGCTGGGGAGATGCCAGTAAAGTTTTGTGCAGATTACGAAGTGTGTATCACCGTCCTATAATTTCCCTAAACGTTAAAGGTGAATGTAAAGTAGTGAAAAATGGCAGAGATTTTCAAAGGTCTGACTGTTTGTTTTCCTAAAATGTAGCAATAAAAAAAATCAGTTTCTACAAGATTAATCCTGATGAATTTTAGTACTGCCAGTTCATTTGCAAAATACCATCAAGAAACTGGCTGTCAAATTTTGAAACCTCCATGTTTCTTTGTCTCTGTTTTTTGTAGCTGTTGGATGAGCTGCCAATGATATACACTTGTTGTGTGTTTGTCTACTGCCTGTAAGTATTTGTCAAACTTTTTTTTCCTTGAATATTGGAAAGCTATTTTAATTAAATGTTGAATGCACGGAGCCTAATCCTGCTTTCACTGGAAGTGATGCTAAAGCTTCTAATGATTTCAGTAGGTGTAAGATCAGGCTTTCAGTTTTTCATATCTGTATTCACATAAATGCTTTGCAGCTTAAATCTCTAAGATTACAGCTGGCATTATTTGGTTTATAAGCAACAAAAGCAATAGAGTTCTCATTTGTAGTAATGCTTGCAACAACGATAAAGTTTTCATTCACGAGAAACCATGTTTCTAAGATATAACCAGACTCCAAATGTATACTTCTAAGCTCTGGTTAGACCAGCTTTCTGACCAGCTGCTTTTTTATTCTGATTTTTCACAGGAAATAAATGTGTTTTATTGAGGAGACCCTTGGAAAAATTGCCATAACCTTTTTGTATGCTGCATATGGCAGTTCCCCCTCCTTAGTTCTACCCCCCCTTAGCTTAGGGACCTGTGCAACATTTGGCAACTCGAACAAACAGTCAAGACTTACAAAGTTATCTTCTTTTTTCCCATCTGTCACTTCCAGTCCCTGAAGCAACATGAATGCTTTGTGCTTTTAAAATCCAACTTGTGATGCAGATCCATTTGTTCTTGTTGCCACCAGAGAGTTTTAGACTCCTTAACCCCCAATCCAGATCTACAGCTGTTGCAAACTGGTGTAGCCTCAGTGAAGTCTGTTTGCCTCTGGTGGATGACATGGACAACTGGTGCCTCCCAAGTTTGGGGGGGCACCAATGGAGCATGACCGGAGGAGGGGGTTCCCCAGCAGCCAGGGAGGAAGCCAATTTTAGGGGGGGCACAAGCACTCTCCATGCCCCCCTACCAGCCACAACGCTTGCTGTCAGGGGAAGCACCAGCTCTCTCGGAGGGGCATATGCCCCCCACCCCACCCCGTGCTCCCCCTACACATCGCCTATGCTGGATGAAGTAGAACATCATAGAGCAAACTTGTCAGTCGATGTAACTTGTAGTCACAGGATTTACACTAGCTGAAGATGAGGTCCATAACGTTTTTCATTCTTAAGAACATTTCAACTTCACCCAAACCCACTCTGTTTCCTTGAGACAACATTTGCATTTGTTTTGCCTGATTTTGAATAAGACCAAAAGGCAAAACACAAAGATAAAAACACTGTTGTTGGGTTTTGATGCTGTGGTTGTTCCATAGCTTTAAAATTTCACCTACGTCTGTTAATAGCTTATAGCTAGGATCATCCTGGAGCCATGTACCATTCATACCATTCCCCACTACTTGGTTCCAGCTTTCAGTGAAAGTCCCAGGCTCTGGAGTTTCTACCATGACTGCTACTGATAGTTCCCTCCATATCCCAGCACATCCTACTCTCTCAACCCCAGCACATCTTACTCTCCTCCCAACTCATCAGGAAGGCACCCCTTGGGAGGATTAGGACCAACGATCACAAGCTAATAAAGGGAATATTTAGGCTGGACATAAGGAAGAACGTCTTCTCCATAAGGGTAACTAGAATCTGGAACACGCTCCTGGCAGAGGTGGTGCACTCGCTGTCATTGGAGGTGTTCAAGTGGAGGCTGGATAAGCACCTCGTTCAACTAGTTTGAGCTCTTTAACCTCCTGCCTATGGTAGGGGACAGGACTCAGTGATCTTACAGGTCCCTTTCCATAGTCCATTGAGTCTATGGCTTTTTCTAAAGATTCAGTCAGCAGTTTTCCTTCTGATCCCTGAGTGGCTAGAATCTTTAAATATTTGCAGACCAATGGTGTATTATATTTTATTTATCATTTAGCTAAGTTTATACATGTTTACCCCTTTTATTCTTTCTCCATACATCAAGTCCTCCAGCCTCAGTCAGTCTTGTTCTTGGCTTTTGTTCTGATTTATCAGTCACTTTCCTAACCACGTTGCACTCGTAACTACATATGGTTGTAGAGACAGGTCTATGCTGCAGTCACAAAAATGTGAACGCATAGTGTAGAGGTACACTACTAGCTCTGACATAGATAGTTTTACTACCTCAAGTGCCACTAGCAATCTAACCACAGCAGCATGATGCCCACCACAGGTTATATTACCCTGCGGTCTCTAGATTGTTTCCTGTACCCAACCTAGGTTCGATACAACCATATATACTGCAGTTATGCCTTTTGATTGCAGTCTAAGCATACCTTACGTGTGATGACACTAGGGCTGTGTCAAATTATCTTAATTGTGGGATCCCATTCATACCCTGAATCTGTAGTCTGGAATTACACTGACAATTTTGACAGCTATATCACGCTTCAAATTAAGTCTGCTGCCTGTTACTGATCTTGGAGTAACTCCTAAACATTACAGCTTCCTCCTATTGAATTACTTTCACCCTCCATGTATTCACGCTACATATTTTTTCCGAAGTGCTTTTTATACATTAATCTACAATGAAAAATGTGTCAAACTAATGTTTATTGTAAGTGGAATAACTGTATTTTGTCACATACTGCAAACCCCCAAATAAGAAATGCACCTTGTTTTGGGAAGGCACAACATAAGCAAAAAGGACAGTTCCAGCAGCAAGGCTGAATTGGGACCACCGGGACAGAGTACATTCTCTAGCTTCAGCAAATGCTAGAATTTTAGCCCTCGAGCAGCCACTGCCAAATTGGCAGCAGCTTTTGGCTGCTGAGTGAAAAGATACTGCCAATTTGGTGGTGACCGTGAAAGGGTTAAAACTAACTATGACATGATTACAGTGTCTCCATGCTTCCATTCCTTCATTCAAGTGCAGGGGGAAAAAAAAACCAGCTTCCCTGTTTAAGACATGCACTCCTGTTTTGGAGGGCTTGTTCTCTTGGGGGGGAAAGGTGTATGCCATATGCAATTAAATATGTTAGACTCATAATTTTTGCCAGTGAAAGTGACATGGATTCATGGAAGAGTCGCACATTTCTGTCAGAACTTACGGTTTTTGTGCTGTTCCTTTCTGAATTCCCTTTAATCAGAAATGCATGGCCATTAACCAGTCAGACCCCATGAAAGATGTACATAGCTATGCAAGGTAGAATATATTGTCACCTTTCTTATGTTTTATTTCAGGTATGAATGTTTCAAGTACAAGAATACAGTCAATTACCCGCTGCTTTGTATATTGATAGGATACAGTTTTGTAGTCAGCATTGTAAGTATCTGGTTCTTCTGCACAAGTTTCCTGTGTAATTTAGTAATTTCCTGCCACTTAAGGAATATCACAGTGGTAGTGCTTCACCTTTTACATTTTGTTATGTACTATTGAAATTGAGCAGGGGAATAATTCTGAGGGTAAATATTACATTGGACAAAATGTAACTGTCCTCTGGAACATCTTAATCCCTTTTTAGAAGTATAACCTCATTGAAAACACTTTACCTTTAAAAAGAAAAGTTCAGTTATATAAAGAGAAGGTCATCTAGGTCTGGGACAGTGAGCAAGAAGAATGGGCTTTGTTCTAGTTGTCTTGCTGACCTGTTAAGAGACCTTAAGGCAAGTTTCTGTGTTTCTGAGTTTGTTTACCCAGCCATAAGGCAAGGATAATCATGTTTAACTTCTGATCCCAATGCACTTTGCAAAGGTGGTTAGAAAGTTATATATGTGCTAAATAGTCTTCAAGCAAAGCTCTTTAATTAGCAAAATGAATATGACAGAGTCAGAATGAATGTGATTCCAATTCAGTGTCCTCACTATGACTGGCCTGCAGACCTGGCTAGAATCTTTTTTTCCCTTCCTCAGTCAAGAAAACTAAGTGTCTTGCCATTTCCATCTCTAATATATGCATAACTTCATAGTTACCTGTTTTTAGTCTGAAGGCAGGCAGAAGGCAAGGTAAAGATGCACCTTGTAGACTAACTGAGGTAGAGATACATAAGCTTTCATGTGCAAGAGCTCGCTTTGTCAGATGCTATCACAGGACATTCACAGAAAAAGCTATTGAATTGAGGGTGTGATTTGAATACAAAAGGCAGGGAAGGGAGATATGGTGAGGGAAGGGAGGCAGTGCTAAGAGACGCAAACAAGTCATAAATCCATAGGGACGAAGGGGTCCCAAAAGCTAATCCAGGCAATGGAATAAGAGTCCATAGTCCCTGTTTAGCCCATACTTCACACAGTCCAGTCTGTGGATGATTTATTGTTCTGCAGTTTCTCAGAGGCGGCTTTTAAACAGCTACTTGGAGGTCAGTGATGGACTGTGTAGGGAGGTTAAAGTGTGCTTCCACAGGCGTGTGTATGTGTTTGGACATGATATCACATCATTGTTCTCTCGTTCTTTCCGGTAGGGATCTTTCCATCCAGTGTAGCCAGCAGAGGGGCACTGTAAGTGGATGATGGCATACATGACATTAGTAGAAACCCCTGTTGCCCCCATCTTTTGTATTCGAATCTTTCTGTCTGATAGTCTGTTCTGTGCATATTCTGTCGTAGCATCTGATGAAGTGAGCTGTGGCTTACAAAAGCTTATGCGTCTCTGATTCAGTCAGTCTATAAGGCACACCTCTACCCTGCCTTCTTCCTGCCAGTGCCTGTATTATTCCTTTTGGTATATAGCCTGTTGTGGATACCTCTTCTTAAACAGGGTTGGAACTCATTGCTTTTATCAGTTGGACACTTTGACTTCCAGAATGACAGTTGTAGTATCAGATTGAAAATTACAGTAAAATGTAATTGCATGCAAAAAGAGATTTCATTCAATATTCCTAGTTTATATCAATGTTTTATATATGTTTAACTTTGATGACTTTTTAATTTACTTGTATGCGTGGTGCAGTTTTAAAAAAAAATACAATCCAAAATGCCTTTATTTTATTTCTCTGTTTGGAATATCTATTTTAAATTGTTTTCTTTATGTGATAGTGATATAAAGCCAGCAAAAAAATCACCAAATGAAGTTCTAGAACTTGCTTTTCTCAGGAGAAAGAATTCAAAGGCTTCTCTTCTGTGTAGTTGGATTGTTGTGCTTTTATTCTAACATAGTTCAAATATTTAATTGTCAACATTCAGAATAAGGAAAATTTATCATCTAGTTGGGGTAACACTTTTCTTTGATTCTTTGCAGATTTACCTAAAATTGAAAGAACCTATATTTCATCAGGTAAATTTTACTTTTGTAAATAATGACATTTCTTAAATCTTTATAGTACATCATAGTTGGTTTTTTTTTTTTTTTTTTTTTTTAAAGTCCCTTTCACTTTTTTGCTATTTCTTTTTGAGTAATATGTTTTGTATGTTGGGCTGCAATTCTGTCATTGGGTGACCTGTAAAAATATTATGGAGTGATCTGAAACTTAATGAATGTATCTTGCTGAAGAGAGGAAGAATACCACTATTTGAACAAGTATTTAGTGACTAATACAAACGGATGCTATTAAACAGTAATGTGTATGTTGGAAAGGAGCATCTGTCCATTGTGTTCTTCGGTTGGTTCTTGACGAAATGTGACCCAAAACTCCAGTTGCTGCTCATGGCAGTAGAGCCTGATCACTCTTTGCCAGCTATGCTACACCTGAGGATAGTGAAGCTGGATGCTATGTAAAGGCTGCTGCGGGGTAGGAAAGAAGGCGAGCGCTGCAGATTGTCATTGTGGTGGCAATGGGCAGCAGGGAATAACACCAGCCTCCAAAGGGGGCATGAGAGGGTCTCCGCACCCAACTGCTATTGCCACTGCTGCAGCACAGGCTCCCCAGCACAGTAGTTCTCCACTTAGGTGCTTCAGGAGCCTACCAGAGGTGACACAGCCATCATCACTGCTATGGGGTGAAGCTGTCAGTTTTCAGGAGGCATGTCAGAACCGCGGAAGAACCTGTGTGCCAGCCTCCATAATGTAATACAGGCAGACATGCCTTTGTGCTGCAGCTTCTTCTCGGCTTGGCTCTTGACGTGCCTCCTAAAAAGAGACGTGCAACGCAGTGCCATCTGCTTGCGGCAATAGTGACAATGCTGCAGCACCTCCTTGGCCTGTCACCTTTCTTCCCAGCCTGTGTCTCCTCTTGTCCCCCCACAGCATTCCCCATGCACTGTGTGTACCTCATCCCTGCCAGCTGGGCATCCCGGGCCTCTGTCCATTAAAGCAGCGGTTCTCAACTTTTGCACCTTACGTCCCACCAACCATTTTGTCAAAAATCCTCGTCCCACCATGATAAAAGCAAAACCCCACTTTTTGCACTGTTCAAGATATCTGTCGATTCATCTCCTTGAAGTGCAAACAACTTTGATTTTTTTTCAATCGGGCAGTGAGTTGAAGTCCCACTTTCTTAGATTTCATAGACATTAGGGCTGGAAGGGACCTCGAAAATCATCAAGTCCAGCCCCCTGCCTCAGGGGCAGGAAGTCATCTAGGGTCAAAGGATCCCAGCAAGATAAACATCCAAGCGTTTCTTGAATGACTCCAGAGTAGGGAGTCTATTCCAGGTCTTGGGGGCTTGGACAGTAAAGAGATTTTTTCTTATGTCCGGCCTAAAACGGTCTTGGAGGAGTTTATGACCATTGGTCCTTGTTTTTCCGTGGGGTGCTCTGGTGAACAGGCATTCTCCCAGGTCCTGATTTACACCCCTTATGTACTTATAAGCACCCACCAGGCCCCCCTTGAGCTTGTGCTTTTCCAAGCTCAAGAGTCCCACAGCTCTCAGCCTCTCTTCACAAGGCCTGTTCTCCTGCCTTCTGATCATGCGCGTGGCTCTCCTCTGGACTCTCTCAAGCGTCTCAAAATCCTTCTTGAATTGTGGAGCCCAGAATTGGATGCAGTACTCCAGCTGTGGCCTCACCAAGGCAGAGTACAGCACCCAGAGAGTCGTGGTGGATGGGTCAGTTTCGACCAGGAAGGGTGTGGGAAGTAGGGTCCCACAGGGTTCGGTCCTTGGACCGATACTCTTTAATGTTTTCATCAGTGACTTGGATGAGGGAGTGAAATGTACTCTGTCCAAGTTTGCAGATGACACAAAGCTATGGGGAGATGTGGACACGCCGGAGGGCAGCGAACAGCTGCAAGCAGATCTGGACAGGTTGGACAAGTGGGCAGAAAACAACAGAATGCAGTTCAACAAGGAGAAATGCCAAGTGCTGCACCTAGGGAGGAAAAATGTCCAGCACACCTAC